ATCTCAAAGATAAGTTTGAGGCCTGAGAGGAGATAAATAAAGAGTAGCTCACCTAATGCCACTTGACACGCCTTGCGCAGCTGGTTGTGCTGGCTCCGCTTCACCTCCTTATCCGCGAGGATTTTCTCCAGCGCTCGAGACAGAAACATGCTCTTGGTGCTCAGGGTTTCTGTCTGCGTATGCCGTCGATGGGTTTCCAGCGCTTCCTGTTCTTTCATCTCTCGGTCGACTTGTTTTAGTAGTCCGTCAGGCCGTCATCGCTGGCCCGTTCCCTGCGGTTTGGCAGGGGCGTGAGGGTGCCGGGAATGGGCCGATGTTGTCGCTGGTTCAGTCGGGGCCAGTTGGACGCTGCTGCTACTATCTCAGCACTGCGTCGCCATGTTGGCTGCACGTCACGTCACGTGACCCGCGGGCGCTTACACTGATGTGTACATTCAGAGCGCGAGCACGGTTCGGCTGAGGTGGAAATGAATGGAGCATGTGTTTGGTGGTGGGGCAGTTTGGTTTCAGGTAGTTACCGTAGTTAGTATGGGGGGTCCTCAAAAAAAAAATATATACAGGCATGCAGTGGACATTTTAGTACTTTAGCCTAAGAATTTATTGAAGTAATCCCTTAAATAGTCTTTCAGATGAAATGCCAATAAATTAAATTTTTACTAATACGTATTATTTTCAATAATTGATTATTATTATTTTTTAAAGTGTGAAATAACTTTGTTCAAAGTTGTAGGTGTCTATAAATAGTTTGTAATTTGGAATCATATAAATGTTTTTGTTAGTTATAACAAATAATTGCCAATATATAGTATTCATTTATACAAAGATATCACAGTAAAAAACGATTTTAAAAGAATTAATTACCTCACAATTACAGAAGAAAATTATGCAATCATGAACTAAACACACACACTCAAGTTATTGACCACTATTGCAGAATGGCTTGCTTCAAATGAAAAGTTGTTAGAGGAATGATCAGGTGTTATTTTTCAATGAGACAATACTCCTGCCTGCCCAAATTACAAAGACAAGTAGTGGCTTGAGAACAAGTCCATCTTGATCGTGTTTTGGCCTGGTCAGAGTCCAGATTTAAACCCTATAGTGAATATTTGGTCTCACATTAAACTCAAACGAACTGGGAAGAAAAAAAACTGTCTGCATTATTTAAAAAAAACTGTCTGCAAGTCTGGAAGGCTATTCTGTGCTGGGTTACTTTATCTACAGTATTTGTGCAGTTTTTGCTAACTTCCTGTCCAGGGATTTGTGATTAAAATGGTTAAGACCATTAAAAGACCAATAAACATTTTGCCATTTTTGGCTTGGCCCATTTACCCCCAATTGGCCAATTTTTATTTCCATTTGACTAGCTTGCCAATTCCAGTGCAAAACTATTTTAATAATCTTTAACCAACTTTATAAAGACATTTGCCATGTCAGACAAATCACAATAAAAAATAACCTCAATATAATTGTTTATAGAAGAATAGTGAACGTGATTTCACCTAGTACAACAACATTCCAATCAACCAATCAGATTTGAGGGGGAAGTTTACAGTTTATGTCAGGTTCAGGCTTAGGTGCTTCTACATCAGTGTTATTCACCATCATTTCCCTCTGATTTTAGGGTGAAGTTATGAGTAGGGGTAGGTTTAGGTCTCAATTTTCAGATGGTAATGTTGTTCCAGCAACGTGTCTTACTTGGCAAAATAACAGTGACCAGAGACAAATATAATTTTATTCAACTGAATTCAGATGTTATAGCATTTTACCACTTGTCAAAGAACTGCATTTAAACAAGATGTTATGAGGGAATTATACTGATATGTATTGCACTTATTGCAAAATATTATTTTCTGAATTTCAGAAAATGAATCCCTTCTAAAGTTAGATAAAGCTACACTTTTGTCTGGATGCAGTTACATGCTTCAACCACAGGGTGTCCTCCTGACAGCAGCGTTCAGAGCTTGAGTTTGCTCTCTCAGCACTATGGTGTAGCAGAAAAGTAGTTTGAATTTTGTAAAGCAGCACTAAAACGGCCTTTATGTCAAGTTCTGTATTATAGAACAATCACTGGCTGCAATAATCAAGTTATAACATGAAGTTAATAGTTGAAAGGATTTCATGAAATACTGGAAAAACAATTCTTTTGGACAACAGTCTACTCTATGGCCAAGTCATCCAAGAATTTAACAATGGTAAACTGTAGCATAATATATTTATTGGCTCCTTCATTCCTCAGAACATTGTTATGTTAAAGCATTTACTGGACAAAGACATTGAAACATTGAGAAAATACATTTCTGTAAAGCTGTGTTGAAAAAAATATGCATTGTAAAAAGCGCTATATAAATAAACTTGACTTATGTTAATGCTGGCCCTCCAGTATACATTTCAAACACTCACATGTTGATATTTACAAATAAAACGAATTTTCGTCATGACCGGTACACCAAACTATTAAGAAAGGAACAGCATCGGTAGTTTTCTTCATATTAGTTTATTTCATCCAAGATTTGACTATAATACATGTGCAGCTATGTCGTAATATAGTATTTATCCTTTTAAAAGTTTCATTATGTGAAACAAATTTACATCAAGTAGTACTAATAAGAAAATACTGATAATTTCAGTACAAATCTATACCTTAAGATTTATCTGACAAGCTCATTATCAAAAAGAGGAATTGACACATGAATGATAATGCTTAAAAGCCCATCTCTAGGTCTCTCAAAGCAGGTGCTCATAGATATATGGTCTCCTTTAGAAATGCAAAGATATTCACAGTTTGGAAAATAGCAAGTTTTTCTTCATATCAAATTTCCCCTAAAGGTCTGAGCATTAAGTTCCACCAAAGATACAAGTGGAAAAAAAAATTAAAACACCATTTTTGTAGAGATGATCTAAAATAAAAAACATGAGGTTTTTATGTCAGCTAAAACAAAAAACAAGTAAAAAAAAAAAACATACATGAAAGTCTATTTTAAAATAAATAAAACTTCTGTGGTTACAATCCCAAATCGGATGTAGTGGTTACTATGAAATTAATTACCAGTTAAAGACAGCATTCAATATGTCGTTTGTACCACAAGAATGAACGATCTGGATGAAGCGTGTATGATCACAGCTACAGTGCGTGTGCTACTCAAAGCAGGTTTTGGTAATGTAAGTGCCATGAAAAGCTCTGTGTGACGATGGGTAGAGGAACCGAGCAGACATGTGCTTTGCTCACAGATGCCCAGTGTTAGGATTCTCATCAGCAATTATAAAGAGAGAAAGGGGAGATAACGAAAGGCTACTTTGGCTAAATCTCCATCAGCAGGTCCTGCTGTAAGAGAATAGGCACATCCGTCTCTTGTCAGTCTCTTCCAGTGCATCTGCTGACACAAACTCTGAGATCTTTAAAGTTCGTATTGAAGCTTACAGCTGTGACATCGTGCATATCATTATGATATGTATGCATAAGGACAAGAAGGGGAGACATGTACCAACAGTCATATGGACTTATATGAATGATTTGATTTTGAAAGTAAGAGCTTAATATTTGTTCATTTGTCCAGTCATTCATATAAGAGGTCATTTTTTAGTAATTACCCCACTATTTTGAGATGACAATATGATGATATTGTGCATTTTTGCAAGGACTTAACAGAGGGTTTTGTGGCTGAGATTTCAGCCAGTTAAATGTAAAAAAAAAAAAACACAGTGACAGCAATTAAGTCTACATAGACCAAATCATGCCTGTCCCATAGTAATGCTGAAACTAATCCCATTGTCACATAATTTCTTAAGGGTTTGGCTGGTACGCTGCTGACGCAAAAAAACTAAAACAATAAGGAACGATATTGAATATTTTGACAGATATTCAATATTCATAGTGGTTCAATAATCACAAAAATCAAGGGTTCATGATTCATTTGCAACGCTTATTTTTAGAGGTAACACTTTAAAATAAGGTTCAACTTGTTAATATTAATTAATGCATTATGTATCATAAATCAAAAACATTTATATAGCGAGGTTAATATTAGTTTATTCATAAATATACTATTGTTCATTGTTCATAACATATTAACTTTATACGATTTGAAATGTTAAAAAAGTACACAGAAATATTGTTAATTGTTACTTCATGATACCTAATGCATTAAATGTATTGTTTGCCCAAAAATTTGAATTATGTCATCATTTACTCACCACCACTTTTTTCCAAACCTGTAGGACTGATTGAATATCTTTGAATAAGTTTTGTTTTTGTCCATACAATGAAAAGCAATGGGATCCAAAATAACAATGGACCCCATTGACTTTCAATGTATGAACAAAAAAAAAAAAACACTGAGACATTTTGTTGTCTTCCACAGAAGAAAGAAAGTCATACAGGTTTGGAATGACATTAAAGGGAGTAAATGATGACAACGTTCATTTTTGGTTGAACTATCCCTTTAAATAATTTGAACAAACTGACCCTTATTGCAAAGCGTCACAGGACACTCATCATTAATGAAACAGCTTAGTGTCCACTTCAGAGCGCTCCTTTGAAACATTACAGCTAATGATGATCTATTCCAAAGGGTTATCAAGTAAAGATCGTGGGTAAAATAAACCACAGGTAGCAGAGAGCAGGATGATAGCCCTTGTCATAAAGAAACATATGTGGTACAAATAAAACATAGCACAATGAAAAATATGACATTAATCATTTGTCTTTTTTGGCTATGAATAAAAACTTTTGAGATAATAATAGACATCTGTATCTTAAGCGAGGCAGCAGTCTACAACCGTACTGAAACGTCCGATCAAGTGAAAATACCTCCTAATCATTCGCTCGAGTGCCACAAATGTTCAGAGAATAGGTAAGCTGGGTGTGTTAGTGTTGCAGACAGGAATGGATGAAGAGCATATTTCAGTTCCTTCTGAAGTTCTGTAGCGCAGACTCAGTTACCATGGTAACGCACACAGGCTGGTTAAGCCCATTGTACTTTGTTCTCCGTCATAATGCTCGAAAGGGAGTGGTTGTCAAAGTAAAAAAAAAAAGAAAAAGATTGTCATGATTCATACGCAGCAGAGTATCTGTTCTCAGTCACGTGACGGGCATCTTCATTCATTCAATCGCATTGACTCATGAAGTTCATTATTACTCAAGAAGCAGCTATTTTTGGTGCTGTGCCATTCTCCATGGGTTCAATGATGGGGACTACCTGGTCCCTGCGGTTATAGAGAAGTGCTGTAAGGTGCTGTGGTGACTGTCCTGCTCTTTTGGTCCTGGACTCACTGGTCACCCAAGTATAAAGACATGCATGCATTTTCAGTCCTATGGCACACAAGAGTGTGTATTGGCATGTGTGTGATTATATGCGGCGTGTGCGTCTCTACAGTGTAATGACTGTGCCGTCCTCCTCTAGATTACGCCCCTCCAAACCCCTGTCGCGGGCATTTAAAGACCCTACGCTTGCGCTGGTCACCATGGTACCATTCGAGGGGCGGAGGTCGAGGTGAGGCTCATATCGGGGCAGAGCGGGCATGCTAGAACTTGCCATCGCCCGTGCCGCTGCCTGCGGAATGAGTTTAGTCCCTCCGTCCGCCTCGATCACCAGATCCTCCTCGTCCTCGCTCTCCTCGTCCGGCTCATAGTTCTGGATAATATGGGACGGGGTCATAGCCATGGAGCCTGGTGTCGAGTAACCGTAAACACTGGTGCTGCTGTCCGAAGATCGTCCCGAGCTGCCGGATGTGGCTCCGCCTCCACTGCTGCGTACCACGTTATTGCGCTGATTGGCCGGTTTGACGGTTATAATGAGGTTGTGGCTATTAGCAATCATCATGTCCGTTACTTGGTCCAAAGACTTTCCGCTCACCTCAATGCCGTTGACTTCGAGCACCTCGTCATTGACGGCCAGCAGTCCTGTGCTCTCTGCCAGGCCCCCAGGGACCATGCGGGAGATGAAGATGCCCGGGACCTTTTCCAGGCCCTGGGGCGTAACGCGAACGCTGGAACCGTCGCGGATGTAGAAGCCCAGTGGTTTCTCCTGACCATGTTTGTATAGACGGACACGTCGATGCGTCTCTGGGAGGATGTCCACATCGATGATGGAGGACACTGGGCGGAAATCTTTGGGCAGGCTGATGATGATCGGAGGCTTCTTCTTGTTGGCGTCCGGGCGAAGGAGGACTGCAGCAAGTACCGCCGGGGTCTTCTTACGGGTCACAGTGTCCGTACCGAATGAAGAGTAATCTGCCTCCTCTGCACAAAAGGAGGAAAAGAGAGAAAGAGAATGTAAATATGTCAAGCTTATGTTAGGCATTGCGATTTGAAGGAATACTGCGGGTTAAAAACAAGTTATGTTCTATTAGGAATGGATTACAATAGACAACTAGTCATTGAACAATAACCGCAAATTCAACAAAGGTCGTTAAAATTACACTGTTATGATAGTTTGATTATAAAGGAGCCTATATTTGTGACTATAGGGTATATAGATCTGACTGTGAGAGACTATAGTTTGACTTAATCCCTTTTCTCTTCATGACACATTGACATTACAGAATAGCTCTTTCGGCACTATCCTGAATAATGTAAAAGCATTAGTTTCATGTGTGATTGAACGGAAGAGAGGCTCTCGGGAACGCATGCAAATATCACATCCTTTTGATTTTCCCGGCAAAAACGTCCCGAGTCCTTCACATAAAATCAGTCTACAGGCTTTCATACACAACCTAGAAAGTAGGGTAAGGTCTTGTTTTTTTTTTGTTTTTTACAAGCTGTTCACTATTGGCAATTAAGAAAGTGATTAATGCGTATAATAATAATAAATGAAAATCATAATTTAAATTAACTTTTTTTTGCTTTTACTTTATTAAAAAATAACTTGTAATAAAAAAAATAAAAAAATGCATTGACACTTTTCAGCAGTGGTGGAATGTAACGAAGTACAAATACTTCGTTACTTTACTTAAGTAAATTTTTCACGTATCTGTACTTTACTTAAGTAGAATCAATAGTGCATACTTTTTACTTTTACTTCGTTACATTTTGCAGCAATTATTATACTTTCTACTCCAGTACATTTCTACAACGTTCTGTTACATTTTCGTTAAATTTTCTGATCAGTTTTTCCCCTGCCAAAACGTCATCCTGACCGTCCGTTCGTCGCACGTTTCTGTCTCACCAGTGAAGTTTGGCTGCCATAGATATATCAACCCGGTCACACTAAATGCGTCTCTATAGCACGCAGTGTGTTTATCGTGCAATTTATACGCGGAAATTAGTTTTTACATGCATAGGAAACGCATTGGTAGGTTTAGTAGTGATGTGGGGTGCGTGTGTATTATGGTTAGGATTAGTATGGCAAGCCAAGAGGTTCAGAATTACGCCATAAATGAATCGCGTTTACAGCCAAACGCCGTCATATACGGTGTTTTAACATAATATGTGTGTTTATATATATATATATATACCGTATATAGTAAGGGTATATAGTAAGCTTGATGTGTATATTGCCTAATTGCAAGCTTGTTCAGAAATGGTGACAAAAACTTAAAATATAACTGCTTTTCCATCATATTGAACATCATTATATGAGTATTAGGTTGAATGAGGTAGAGAATTAACTGTTTTATTAATCATTAGAATATAGACATTAAGAGAATAAATTGTTATGCAAGTACTTTTACTTTTAATACTTAAAGTACATTTAAAATCAGGTACTTTTTACTTTTTACTTAAGTAGGGTTGTCATTGTGGTACTTCTACTTTTACTAAAGTAAATATGTCTCTGGTTATTTGTACTTTTACTTAAGTACTGAGATTCAGTACTTCCTCCACCACTGCTTTTCAGTGGCTCAGTCAACAGTTCAATATCAGCGTATTGTTGTGCATGTAAACACACATTATCAGTGCAAGTTCATTATTTAACATGTTCAAATTATCATGTTTTTTTTTTTTTGCACTTGTACTACTATTCCCACAGCTTTGTAAGTAGAGACCTGCAGGGGGATACCGTGGTAGAGAATGCCTGCTTGTTAGTTTGCCTCCGCCTCTCAGCTAATGTGTAATCTACTGTAAACCCAAGCCTCCTTTCAACCTCGCTCTCTTTCTCTCTCAGCTGCCCTTTATGAATTCCTCAGAGGCTTAATCACAGCCTGGACTTTCACCTGCAAGACATTCATACTCGAGATCAAAAAGGAGAATAGAGTAGGAAGAGCGAGAGGGTAGAAATGTACGTAGGTAAAAAGGATAGAAATGTCTGAGAGAGTTCAAAGCAGTACCAAGAAGTGTTTTTCTGAACTCCATTTACATGAACGAACAATGGTTAACCTAAGAGATGTAATTATTAACAAAAACAACCATCTAATGAGATTATTACTAACATCTCAATTATGTTATTTACTGATCTTTTGTATCTAGGTCCGACAAGGTTTGTGACTTAAAGCCATGCATTTTTACGGATTTTTTTTATGACATAAACCTGAATTGTACCTCTAAAACGAAAAGTGTCTTCCTGTACGGTATTTGTTTAACCAGGACCATGTTAGCAGGGATGAGGCTGTGTGATCTAGCATGCGAATAGATTTCACTTCAGCCCAAATATAGTCAAAACACACAAGATTGATTGTTCAGTGAGAGAGAGTAAAGGTCTCCCTGCCGGTTCCCACAAGAAAACTACCTGGATCGTCCTTGTGGTTTTTTTTTTTGTTTCAACGTGAATTGGCAGACCTGTGTTGAAATTTTAACAATCATTTGGCAACATGCCTTCAATACCTGCAGACTTAATAAAAAATCTCATTCTGACCTTACAGAGCTGAGATTTATTCACAAACACGCAGCATGCACACACAAGTCTCAGCAATGCAAGTTTGGCTGAAACAGTCAGTCTCTTTTCATCTCCTCCAGCGTTCTTCTCCTCTCTTCCTTCCTTATCTGCTCCACTCTTCCATATTAAAGCATAACAATGGCTTCACAGTCAGTGTTGAAGGGCAGCATGGGAAGTGCCTGAGGGCCACTCAAACAGGCACAAACTAGCTTTTCTGTAAGCTCAGAGGTTCACAGGAGAAAAAGCGAGAGGATGCATAAAGCAGTGATGTATGGAAACTGCATCATGCTGACAGACACACACAACTTCATCATCTCACTTCCTGAACACAACACAGTTGATTCTTTGTGAAACCTGACACTATCACTACAGAAAAACTAGTCGGGCCATAATGGCTCATCACAAATATGAGAGATGATCATGTGTTTTAATCAAACATAGACACACAAGCATACAGGTCTCATTACACCCCATCATGCATTGGCCTCTCTACAATCAGGGGATACAATCAATTCTCAACACAAACAAAGAGTTGACATGAATTTTCAAAATTTTTCTCAACATTTTCCAGATGTTCATGATTACAGCATGAAAACTTATTTTCACTAAACTTATTTACTAAAGAACAATATTTTTAGTGCAGAAAATTATTGGATTTTTTTTTTAATTTACAGTAGTTTTCTTAAGAGACTTTTTAAGTAAATAAGTGAAGACATTTAAAATAAATGCTGTAGTTTTAAACTTTATTAAAAAAATGTATCACGGTTCCACAAAATATTAAGCAGCACAACGGTTTTTAACATTGATAATAATAATAAATGTTCCTTGAGCATTAAATCATCATATTAGAATGATTTCTGGAGGATCATGTGACACTGAAGACTGGAGTAATGATGCTGAAAATGCAGCGTTGCCATCACAGGAATAACTTACTTTATAAAATATATTACAATATAATAGAGTTATTTTAAACTGTAATAATATTTCACAAAATTACTGTTTTTACTGTATTTTAGATCAAATAATTGCAGCCTTGGTGAGCCGCTCTTTCTCTTTCTCATCTTGGATTTCTCTGCAGTTGTGTGTTAATATGGCAGTGGAAATGTGACACTGGCTTTATCTGATACTGTGGTCACCATTGACCGTGGCAGTGGAAGCACCTTCCTCACTTCCTGTCAGAGGACAGCAGGATGCAGTCTGTGTGATCAGTCTGCCATGTCAACCAATGAGAGTAGTGTGCGTGTGTGTAAGAGCTTAGTGAAATGCAGCCCCACCTTTGCTAGATGATCAGTATCCCATTACGCAGGGTCCAGCAGTCCCAAGGTCAGGTGACCGTTTGTGTATTCTTAACTGTTCTGCGTTTAAGTGATTGATAAAGAGTCAATATTAAAATAAATTTAAAATACTATTAATCTAAATAAACTAAATATAAAACACTAAAAGTAAATGCTACAAGTGAATTTGGGCATCGAAACAAGGCACATTATAAAAAAAGGATATGCCTGTTCATTTTGAGATTTGCTAACGATAATATTTAACAAAGTTGTTAAATTATTTGTGTTTTTAAAGATTAACTTTGAGTGTGTTAGATGATTGCAAAGATAAATTAAATGTAAAAATAGGGCAAATGAACAATTAAATACCAGGTGTCTGCCGATACCAAAAAATCGTCCGATAAATACCGATATCAATATATTGTTTATCACTTAAATAGAATAAAATACTTTTTCTAGGCCAATGATATGACACGCATCAGGAAATCATATTAAACATATCTACTTTTCATGTCTATAGGTGTAAGAACAAAGTACCTTCAAACTTTTTCCTTACACCTATCTACCGGTACTTAGTGCACCTTCCAACATTACAAAAGATAAGAATATATAAGATAAGAACTCTGAACACTGAAATGTGCAACTTAATGTAATTTGCTTAGATGACACCAATTTGATTAGTGACTATTGATAATTCAGTTTTCATTGTCAGTTCAGAAGTTCGCAGGCACGTTCGTGAGCAGCATCCCACGAGGAGCGTGAAAACAATAGAGATGTCACACCGTGTCTCTGCTCACCGCAAACTGTGAGAGACTCATCTCATCCAATATTCAGCAGGCCTTATGAAGGCCGCGATGGCTCATGTTTCACTTTTGTCAATGTCTCATTCAGTTTTTTTTTGCATGTGCTACTTTCTGTTTACAGTCTCGCTCCACAAAGCTGCTTGCAGAGAATTATGCGCCCAGATTATTCAGACGAGCAGCCGCTGACATTTCTGCTTCTTTAAGGTTAAGTCCAGACGTCTCCCACATGAGGAGTGTGTACCATCCCGTTCCAGTCACGGCACGATAGAGGAGAGGGGAGAAGAGCGGGTGGAGAAAGGGCTATAATGAGTGCTTATTATTAGGAACGAGAACAAGAATGAAAGAGTGATGGTT